CGCAGGCAGCAGCCGCAGCAGGGGCACGGCCTCCGCGCCGCCCGCGGGGGTGAGCACAGGGACGGGCGACGCCTCCAACCGCCCTGACGAGCGGTAACGAGCCCCGGCCGGCACCTGGGGCCGGCAGAGAGCGGGCGCACGGTTTCCCCCTTGGGGTAACCCAGAGAAACCCACTCTTGCACTGTGCACCATTGCAAGCAGCTGAGTTTGGAAACATTCACATTATTTTTAAGAACTTGAGGTAGAGTGAAATTACTTTGAAAACTGGCAGCCCTGAGCAAAGCGTGGAAGAGACTTTGGAGAGATGAAGCAGCAGCCGTGGGTTAGTTTCTTACACTGGGAGCTGAGGCAGGCGGCTCTCCTCTCCCGGGGAAGCTCTGCACCTGCACGGATAAGGCAAGTGAGCCATTTCACAACCTGCAGTCCTCGTATGCTGCAGAGGGCTGCGAGGGGCCCTTCCCATGAACCCTCCTCTCCTCCAAGTGTTTTGTGGAGCTTCAGGCTCCCTTCTGCTCCCTCCCAATGCCTCCAGCCAACAGATCTGTTCCTCGCATCTCCCCTCTTGCTCTTGTCTTTAGTCCCTGTGACCCACCCATCCTTACTGACGGCAGCCAACCCGCAATGAAGTGGTTGCGGAGGTAAGAACCAAATGTTACCAAGAGAGTGTGCGTATATTGACAAAGAAAATGGACATGCGTACAATAAACAAAGAGGAACACTGCAGGAAGGTGCACAATCAGACCTTGACCTGGTGTAAATCCCCCTGGCGTGCTGTGTTCAGCAGCAGACAGTCCGGAGCACAAACAGAAAGAAGTATTAGTGCATTTTTGTACAGTGAGTATTATCTCTCATACTTCAGTCCAGCATGCCTGGGGTGAACCACCAATACAAAGAATATTTGCAAAGATAAAAATAACTTCAAAGAGATACAAGAAGATGAATCTGCTGCTTTGTATTCATTCCATGGCTTCAGGAGTCGGAAAACCTGGAAGCTGAGTTCAGAGACAAGTTTAGATATTGAATTCTTAGTGCACATTTTGCCCAGCAGACTTCTAATACCCAAGAATAGATATGTTTTATTTTGATGCAGGTCTCACTGCTGAGAAAATAGAGATGTTTCTCCTTTTTGTCTGGATATTGCTTTTTATTTGTCAGCTTATTCCTTCCACTCTGAGTCTGCGTACCACATGGATTTCCAGAAAGATTGGAATTTTCTCTGCTTCACAGAATTTTCTTTAGATTCCAGTCTGAATTTATTATCATTGTTAATTTAGAAAGTATAAGCAGTTTTACAAATCACTACCATGCAGACTACTTCATAGCAGTAGTGTTATTACTTTAAAAAAAAATTAATTCTGAATTCTCATGCTGGTCAAATAGGTGCTACTTGTGGAAGCTCAAAATCTAAGCATGTAACAGCAGACAAACACATAGAAGACATAGACCCACAGGATAGCCAGGTGTGAAAAATAACAGAAAATGTGCCTTAGGATTTCTCCATTGTCGGGGTCTAGGGAGAAAGCTGTACCAGTTTTCTATATAAAATAGTCTTCCTTGGTGCTCACATTCCCAGACACTTTCTGTGCAGCCCACCTAGCCCTGCTGTTCCTCATCATTAGATATCACTAGAACATTTCAACCAACAGCAGCTCCTGTTTCTCCCCATAAGCATACAAACAGATCAAAGGACCAGTTATGTCAGTGCATCTAGATCTAAAATAAATACAATTTTTAAAAGTATTTTAGGAGCAAAGAACAAAAGAGTAGAATGACCATACAATTAAAAAAAAATAAAATCCAGAAACTAACTTTCACCACACAACGAAAAACCAAGTCTAGCAACAATGAATGCTGGAAACACCTGCTCTCTGAAATTATCAGTTCTTATTTTTGCTGTCCACGTTTTGAGGGGAGAAAATAATGATTGCCTCTTTCCACAAAGGTTGTCTAGGGCCAAGATTTTCAAAAGTTCTTTTAACTCATGTACAAGACTGCAGCAGAAATAATCACCTGAATAACCATCTGAAGCGGACATGCCTAGTCTCCCAGTCCCTGATGGACACGTAACTCAAGCTGTGTTTCATAAACCTGCTGCAAACCTTCAGGTGGTCATGTGCAATTCACAGAGCATAATCAGCTCAAGATGAAGTACCCCACTAGGAATGACAGCTGCTGTTTTTTTAAACCTGCTTTCATCTTTGAAAGACACTATGAAATAATCCCAGATAGATTGCACTGCAGATTTCTGAAAACAAAATACCAGAAGTGTGGATTATTGTAGCAGCATCTGTACCGAATGAAAGAAATTGAAACATCTAAGTCAGAGGCACGCAGGAAACTGCCGATAGCCGGTGCTTCAAGACTGGCTAGGAAGCAAAGGCATGCTATGCAAGGTATATACGTGTTTTCAATCTCGGTGATAAATAAACTTTACATCACCTCTCCAGAGGATTGCCCAGAGCTTTTAAATTCCTTCCCCCTTTATCAGGATAGGGATCAGTGACCACATGGGATGAAATTTTGTAATGCTACAATTCAAATCAAAAAGGCTTTAGATGCAAAACTGCCGATAGTACTCTTGGCTGTTCACATTGACAGCCAGTCAAGCTCTGTTAACCTAGTGCTAAAGATACCACCTTCCAGCACAGTCAAATGCCTTTTCTGATATCACCTGAAAAAAGAAAATAATCAGCCTGTCACTTGACTTGGGAAAGTCTCTATGTAGAATACATTTTTAAAGAACTTTCTCCTTACCAAGGCATAAAAAATATTGATCTTGCTGAGTGAGCACAATAAGTCTGTGTCTTACTAGGAAA